TTGAGGTTAACCAGTTAAATTTATTACTGGTTAAGGAGTTCCTACCCTTATACCCTATTTCTATGGGCATCTCTTGTCATTACCCGGATCGGCTGCAACGGGTTTCACCGGAATTCCTGTTTCATCGGAGGTCCCGCCTTTAGATGCTTTGCATCATAGTCCACAGGCAATGCCGGTGTGAAAGGAGAACAAGACGTCGGTTCGCTCCACCAAGCTGTCCGACCAGTGGCATCTAGGCCAACATTGCACCGCCTATACCGGCATGCGTTACCCGCCCTAGACAGAGGAAAAAATATGCTGCCATCTCCCCCTCAACCATGGGCGGCTGGCGAGAGTGAAACGGGTTGAAGGTCTTTCGCAAGAGTCCGCTAGCCGTAGCAATTGTACGGGGCATCATCACACATACGGCACGAGCACCTTCAATACCGGTACTCCGGAGGCAGGGTCGAAGCCTCGCAATTGCCGCGAAAGCAACCCCTATGTCAGATATCATACGTGACACCACCCAATGCCTCCCTAATACCGTAAGTTACTGGACAGCACCAACACAAAACACAAACCCTGGCTGGCGCGTGTCGGGGCCACAAACTCACAATAAATGACGGACTGCGCACAATGATTGTCCTGCAATCGGCGAACAGAGCACCCGTACCGGCACTCTGACGAAGGCTTGGGTATCATATGGCATGCAATGCCTTGTTGACGAAGCACTCACTAGAGCCTGTCACCGCTCCGGATAGAGCGAGCATTAGTATTACAAATTTCAAAAGAAAGCCGCACTTGTGAGAGGGAAATTTCATATTTCATTCCTTTTTACTTGAAAATAGCACGAATATGCGCAATCTATTGAGAATGCAAATTACCATTAAGGATTACTGTATTACCTAGCGGCGAGCAACACCAGCGTAAGGCTTCCAAGGCTTGACCTGCCGATTTCAGCTGTTCTCTTCGCTGCGAAGGCCCAAAATATGGGCCGGGGCGCAGGAAGGTGGTATATCGGAATCCTTCCTTTGCCATGGGATATGCTGCTCAGCATCTAACATGTGTCTCTGGACCCAAATGTCTTCAAGAAAGATCATTCGCAACAGTTGCCCTTACATATCAAAATCGTGAACTCTGTAGATATAGCTGCCCAACCAGGGATTCAGCCCTGCTTTCCCCAGTCCTTTGCGTTGCGATCTATACCATAAGCGTAACGGCATTAGTACTCGAAAACGGTCAAACACAATAAGTCTCCCCTCTTCCCCCCCCGAAAAATAGGGGCAGGCTTTAAATGCCCGAAATCCGGATACTAACCCCAGGAGGTGGGTGTCTGAAAGTGGTATAAGCCTCCCAAGGAGTCTAGAATACCCCCTCTCGACCCGGGTCGGCAGGGGTAGTCACGATTAAACTAAAGGAATACGGTGAGGATCTGGGGACAAATGAGGTTTGAAACGATTCGGTACTGGCAACATAACCACCGTATCGACCCGATAAACTGGTTTCGTATCCCGAGTCCTGCACAAAGCATTGATCCTGCCACTGCGGCGTGAGTAGTGTTGTGCACGAGCCGAGCGGACTCGAGCCAGACTCGAGCCGAGCCGGGCTCGAGCCCTTCGAGTCCGGGGGGGCCTCGAGCCGAGCGGACTCGAGCCTGCTCGAGTCTCTTGGCGCTGCTGCCGCTTATCCGTCAAACCATCGAAACCTCCTACCGCCGCAACTCCATGTCTCATATACCACCACCTCCGCCTACCACCACCCGCCTCCTACCACTACCAACGCAGTACAAAAAAGCGCAATTGGATGGTAGGTAGGACTATATGATTGCTTATGCTAACCAAGGCCTGGCTTGGGCTACCGGAGGTGGAAACATGGGAAGAGGTAGAGGAAACCCATGGGGAAGATGGA